AAAAGAAAAAAATAACAAAAAAAAAAGGGTTAAAATCACCGGGCAAATAGGTAATTTTGCCCCTCTAGCCACTAAAGGGGTCCGAATGGAACCCTATCAATTGTGTAACAAAAGAGGAAAAGAGAGGAAGAGAGAGTTGAGAGAAAACCTAGAGAGAAGAAAGAAAGAACCATCCAAAAACGCATCGGACCACCGCCGGAACTTGCTACCAGCCACGATCTAATGACAAGGACTTCTTGAAAGGAAGAAGAAGATGTTGGCATTCGGAGTCCCGTTTTTTGTCACGAGATCGAGAAAATCGAAAAAATAAGATCTTAATTGTTTTTCTCAGATCTAGAACTCTCGGTCTTGAACCAAGGTCTGAAATTTTGATATGTTCATCTAGAAGAAAATTCTCCACAAGATTCAGAAAGGAAACTAGCCGAAATTCGGGTTCGAATGCAAAGATGTGAGCCAATTTCCAAGAATGGAGGAGAGAGAAAATTTTCCCACGAGTCACGTGTCAACCCGGCCCAGTGAACTGCGACTACAAAATTTGACCCGCGTGTGACATCCGCGACTAGACTTCGTTTGGGCGCGTTAGGAGGCATGAGGATGTTATAAATCATGACTCTCTACAATGGTATGATATTGTCCACTTTGAGCATAAGCTCTCGTGGCTTTGCTTTGGGCTTTCCCAAAAGGCCTCCAGCAAAGCCATGAGAGCTTATGCTCAAAGTGAACAATATCATACCATTGTAGAGAGTCATGATTTCTAACAATTGGTATCAGAGATGTTCGTCTTTTGTGGAACACTCTGATGCGAAGTGTCCCATTTGCTGACACCTGAAACATTTAATTTTACTTTTGTCAAATCTCCTCGATGCCAGTCACTTCTCCCTCGGCCTCTCCATCTTCCACGACCCCGTCCCCTGCCTCCTCTGGAACTTCCTTCATCCTTCTATTCTTTCTTTGAGGATTTTGCATTCTTTCGTTCTTTCTGCTTGAGTGATGAGAACGGTTTCATCTTTTTCTCCAAACCCTTGCAACCTTTCTTCATGTGCCTTGAGTGATCCAATAATCTCATCAACGGATTTCGTTTTGAGATCACTGAACTCCTCAATCGTTGAAGTAATTTGAAGAAACTTTGCAGAGGTGGATCGTAGAAGTTTCTTAACTACTTGGATATCATCCACAATATTGCCGAAGCCTCTCAATTTGTTGACAATAATGGTGAGTTTTCCAAAATACTCATCAATACTTTCTGAATCACCCATCCTCAATGCTTCAAACTCCTGCCAGAGAGTCTACGTTTTAACTTCTTTTACTCTTTCCGCACCTAGGTTCATATTTTTCAACATGATCCAGGCTTCTTTGGCCGTTTTCTTGGCACCCAACTGTAGCAACGTATCTTCTCCAATACTTTGATAAATAGCTGCTCAAGCCATCTTATCTTTGTGGTTATCTAATGTTTTGGGTGACTCAATTGCCTCCTAAGCACCTTGTGCCATCATAAATACCTCCATCTTAATCGCCCAAGCTGCATAGTTGCATTTTGTCAACATCGGGTATTTGAGTGTGACAGATCCCTCTTTTCTTGAATCCGTACACTCACTTCATGTGAGGCATCACCTTCTATCGCACCGGTGTTCTGGCTCCTGCCACTCGATTCCTGTCTCATTTTTTTTATCTCTCTCTCTTCTTAACTGCTCAATCTCTAGGTGAGACATGATTGAAAACAGGCCTTGATCTTGTACTTTGATACCAATTGATAGGAAAAAAACACCACAAAAGAAGAAATTAAATTGATAGGAAAAAAACACCACAAAAGAAGAAATAATTTGTGTCTTCGCTTCTTCTCCCCTTATGGTATTTTTTTCCTATCAGAGGAAGCGTGGCGGCACGTGGGAGCGCGTGAGTTTTTGTTTTCTGTCCATCCAACTTCTATTTGTCCTCTGCCCTTATTCAAATTCTAACGATGTTTTTATGTAAATAGGGACCTAATTGGGGAAAATCAGTATTTTTGGACACCTTATGTGCATGGAAACGCTAGCGAAGGGGCACACATCAACCAAGTAAGTCACCACTCGATTTTTATGAAGAAATACTTGTAGGATTCGCTTGGATTGCATGCATGCTAGTACATTTGCCTTAGATTAGCTTTCGATGAATGAGATTAGGTAGATTGATTTTTTTATGAGCGTATTGGGGTGAATTATCTAGGTGTTGATTGTATGCTTTAATCTTCCGCTATATGTATACATATGTTTGATTCATGTTGAAATAGTGAACTCCGCGTTTCGGACACTTGAGGGATGACATTGCCCCGTTGAGCGCAAACTCTACTTTCTGGGTGCATGATGGAGGCCATCGCCCCGTGGAGTATGCACATCTAATTTGCATGAATTATGTATGATGATATTAGACGACGGTTGCATGTATACTCGATTATTTTCCATAACTATTACTATGATAAGTCTAGGGAATTGTAGCTAGGAGTGACAAGTCACTCAATCTAGATACAAACTTCCTCTAGGAACCTAACAGATTACCACGGCGAAGAAGTACCTTATGAGTGTTCTTAGACTGCTAGTTGTCTGAATGGTGTTTGTAGTTTCGTGGGAGGACTAGAGGTCCTGATCAGTTCTTACTGCTCCTAGTCGTTTCGCATGGGAAATGTGTCCCCATGTAGTATAGCCCATTAGCTGCATGGGAACAGGTTGGGTCGCGCCCCCTAGGAAGACTATTATGGGCTTAGGAGGTATTCAGCACACCCTTAGGCAAGATACCATGTAGTCTCAATTAGCCATGTAAAGGTAGCGCCTCATAGAGAGATACCAGTTAGTCTAGCTTAGCATAAGGAACTCTTAGGTATCAAATGAAAGGACGCAGAACCAGTGAAGCTCCAAAGAGCAAGTCCCAAGGGTGAGCCCTAAAGGGACTAAGATTAGAACCAAATGTCCTAGAGCCAATTAGAAGACCATGAGAATTGTGTTAAGTTTAGGATGGGATGAGAGACTACAAGTAAGGTGGCTTACTGAGTATAATTTTTATACTAATCCCATTTTTCCTTTTTTTTTTTCAGGTATTCATAGACTGTCGGTCGAGGTAGAGGAGCGTTCGAGAGTTGTACGGTCACATAGGGGGTTGTTCTTGAGCGTCAATCCCTTTTCGATCTTTTGTAGTCTTTTGTAAATTTCCTCTATATTTGTATTTTCTCTTATTTTGTAAATTTGAATCCTTTTTTAAACATCTGAAAATTACACTTCTTCTTCAAATTTTGATTTTATTGAATTTTCACTTTTTATCTTTTATTCTTTTTTCCTCTTTCTTTTTGTTTTTGATTTTGTCTTTTGGGTCACGATCCAAGTTTCGAAACCTCGAAAATCGAGTCATGACAAGAACCATGAAAAAAATTGCTACTCTATCAAATTGTAAAAGATTTCAAAAGCTTAACCTTCCTTTTTTGTTGGAAACTAATGAATATTCTAAACCTTTTTTCCCCAAAGCTTCGATCTCTAGAGATTTTTTAATGTGAATATTTGACAAAACTATGAAATTAGTTGGACTAAGCGGTAAACTACATAAAAACCCTACAACAAACCCACCACAAACTCCACAAGCAAAAGCACGAAAACCTCGAAAAGCTCTTAAACAACAATCTAGCTGTGAGCTACAAGGTTGTTCATTATCATCCTCAACAATAGCAATAACAACAATCTAGTTCAACCACCACAACCCGTGAGGCTTTCTTGGCCAACCAAGCTTCCTCCTCCAACATGTCCTCCATTCTTCTTCCACCACCACCGCCGCCTCCCTTCTCTGGTACTACTATGGCGTTTCAGACGTGGACTTCCTCCAACCTTGTATTAAGGGTCTGTGGCGGCGAGACTCATTTCTGCATCTGCTCCGGCAAGAAGCCTGGTTTGTTCATTGTCGTTTGTTATGTTCTTGATAAACATCAGATCGAGGTTGTTTAGGCTCATGTCTCCTCGGATTTCCATCACATTTTCTTTATGATTCAAGCCCATGTAAGTGCGACCTTCATTTTTTTCCTTTACAAGGTTTGAATTTAAGCGTGAGGTCTCAGGCTTGTTGGAGAGGAGAACTAAACATTCCTTATAAATTCCTTATAAATGTATGAAATTTTTTCCCTATTAGATGCATTTTAAAACTTTGAGGGGAAGCCCGAAAGGAGAAACCCAAATTCTTTCTTGATTTGATCAAAGACTTTGATCCTCGAATATTTTGTATATAATTATTCTTCAACAAAAATGGAAAACTTAAAGAACAAAAACTAGAAATGAGAAACGAAAACAAACTCTAATAGAATCTTATCGAGTTAATTTTCGAGAGTTGTTATTTAAAATGTGTTCTTTTGACGATGCAGGCATATGGAATTTGCAATGGACTCGGGGAGCAATGGTGGCGGAAGAAATATTCAAGCAAGTTGCGTGGGAGATCATCTTCTGGTTATCTGCTTGATTGGAGACTCCAACATTCTCTCCACCATGAAATCTCTTGCATGAACTTTACTACTGCAAAATTCTGTGCATGAACCCACCTATGGGTTTGGAATTTATTTTGGATTCGAAAATAGAGAGAACCTTTAGAAGAAGGTTGAGGGAGAAAAAGAAAATGACAAAACAAAATATACAGTAAATAGAACTTGAGCCCAACTGAATTGGGAATTTGAAAATCCAGTGATGATGGCTAATCAAGAGAGAATTACTACTAATGTCATTCATTTAGCCGATGATGGAGAAAGAGCAATTCGAGCATATGCACACCGAGTTGTGGAAGAGCTAAATTTGTGCATTATCATACCTAAACTGCAAGCAACCACTTTTGAGCTAAAGCCCGTGATGTTTCAAATGTTGCAAACCATTGAGCAATTCCCTTATTCTTTGAGGGATGGTGCTAAATCATGTTTGAATACTTTAGCATCAAGAACAATTGATTATTGGAATAGTCTAACACGAAAAATTTTGCTCAAGCATTTTCCACCCACTAGAAACGCACGATTTAGAAATGAGATTGTTGTTTTTCAACAGTTTGAAGATGAGACATTAAGTGAATCTTGGGAAAGATTTAAGCATAAACTTAGAAAGTGCTCTCACCATGAATTACCTCATTGTATACCAATGGAGACTTTTTACAATGGATTAAATATTGTCACTTAACAAGTAGTTGATGTTTCCGCCTAAAGAACTATTTTGTCAAAGATATACCATTAAGCATATGAGATTTTAAAGAGAATAGCATCTAACAATTGCCAATGGGTCGATATGAGAAGTAATCCAAGAAAGAAGACCCAAGGAGTACTTGAAGTTGATGCTTTGTCCTCTATCAACACTCCATTAGGTTCGGTGACTAATATTTTACAAAATCTAGCATTCGGACAAGGCTCAATGACCAAAGTACCAGTCCATACAGTTATTGTAATGACCCAAACAGCAGCTGAATCTTGTGTATATTGTGGAGAGGAACACACTTTTGATCAATTTTTCAAGCAATCCGGCCTCAATTTTTTATGTGAGGAATCAAGCTAGTCAAGGCAACCCAAAAAATAATCACTTTTCAAATACTTATAATCGGGGTGTAGAAATCATCCAAACTTCTCATGGAAGGGACAAGGCTCGTACAACCAACAAATGTCACCTAAAGTGATTTATCTCCAGGTCTTGGATTATAAAATAAATTGACATATAGTCCTCAATAAGTCAACACCCAAGGGAAAGGAACTAGTTAAGCTGTATATACTCGGAACATAGCTTGAGAGCCTAATAAAGGAATATATGACTATAAATGATGTTGTGATACAAAGTCAGCAAGCATCCTTGCGAAATTTGGAAGTTCAAGTAGGTCAATTAGCAAATATGTTACAAAATAGACCTTTTGGTAAGCTGTCAGCAGACACCGAAACGCCAAAAAGAGAGAGCATGGAGCAATGTCAAGTAATAGAATTGAGAAGTGGGAAAGAAATGCCTAGCATGGGAGAAAAACTTAAAGAACACGGTGATAGTCACTCTCAAGAAGCTGTTGATACACAGTAGAGAAAGTTGGAAGCTGCTGTGTAGGAAGAGCACATCAAAAATTATGCAGAAGCTGTTGTACATAAGGACACAACAAAAATTATGTAGAAACTATGAAGCCTCCTAAAATGCAAACAGTAGCCAGAAATGGACAAGAAAGAACATATACACTAGCACCTCCTTTTCCACAAAGAATAAAAAGGAACAATGAAGAAGTCCACTTTGAGAAGTTCATGGATATATTTAAAGAAATTCATAGGTAGTACCATTGATGAAGAGTGTAGTGCAATATTGAAAAAACAAGATCCCGACTCATTTACAATTCCAATATCAATAGGACGGAAGGAGCTAAGTCGAGCAATATGTGATTTGGGATCAAGCATTAATCTAATGTTGCTTTCTATTTACAAAAAGTTGGGTATGGGTTAAGCTAGACCAACTACAGTCACCCTTCAACTAGCAAACCGATCTTTCACTTTTCTAAAGGGTAAAATTGAACATATCTTAATTCAAGTGGACAAGTTCATTTTTCCAGCAGATTTTATCATTTTGGATTATGAAGTGGATCATGATGTACCAATTATTTTGGGGAGACCATTTTTGAAAACCAGAAGAACATTGGTAGACGTCTACAAAGGAACTATAATGTTGAGAATGAATGATCAACAAATAGAATTTAATATCAATGACAACATGAAATATCCAATAGTAATAGAGGAATGCTCAAACAATTTATAGATTGATAGAAAATCCAACAGCTGATAGTTGAAAACAACAACAAGAAGAAGACAACAACTAGAATAATTGCACTACACAGCAAGTAGAATTGGAGAAAACCGTAGGAGTTCTTGAATCACTACAATTAGAGGAAATAATAAATTCATCAATGATGTTATCTATTGATGACACACCCTTGAACTACATCTTAGAGATATAAGGGAGATAGACTTCACGAAATTATTCTCACCCACGAAATTATTGCCCCAAGGAAGTTAGCCAATTTTTGTTCATGAATTAGGGGGATTTAGATGTGGTTAGGAAAGTTAATTTAAGCATATTAAGGAGGCTAATTACACTTAATGCATGCTAGGATGTGATTGATGACAAATATTATTCCCTTGTAGTGCACGTGGCCGCATAGTTGTCTTGTTCATTTTTATTTGCATGTGGTTTTATTTTATTTAAATATTGTGCACTTTCTTATCCAACTACATGCCAAGGCACCACCACCCAACAAAATTTTTTAGGAACATTCTAAAAGATTTTCTAACCCCTCCCAACAAAGAAATTTGTATGGAAATAAGAAATAAAAAGAAAATAATCCTTGTTTATTCTCGAGTAAGCTTGAAATGATAAGAAATGGCTACTAGACATCATAATTCACATGTTGCAGCAGCACCCACAGCTAGATTGATAGCAGATTTACAACATCAGTATTTCCAAGTTTCTAGAAAAAATTTTAAAAGATTGGAGCCACAAAGGATCTTCACGATGCCTAAAGACAAGGAAATTATCTGAAAACACCCTTTACAATCTTATTATCTTATTTAGAACCATGCATCCATATTTTGTTGTCTGTTTTTGTTTTGTTGATTGCATATAATTTTGAATGATGTCCATGCATGCACCCTAGAAACATGAGCTTTATTAGATAAGGTAATATATCATGCATTTTCAAATATGCAGTATGGATATTTTATGCAAAACTAGGGATCCCTTGTAAAATGTTTCAATAGGATAATAAAACAGTAAGGTGAAGGATGTGTAAAATCATAACTCTCAAGGAAAAAAAAAAAAGGAGGGTTAAGGAAATTAAAGCTAAAATCGGAAGGAGTATTTATTAAAGTTAAGGTGAGGATTCATCTTAATTAGCAAGAATTCTCATAATTCACAAACTTTACACCATTTTCCCAAAAAAACAAGAGCTTTCACACCTCAATCTACTTCCAAGAATGATTTCACACCCATACCAATGCTCATTGAGGACAATGACTAGTTTAAGTTTGGGGGTATTAAAACAATTCTACAAAAAAAAAAAAAAAAAAAAAAAAACAAACAAATTGTCCTAATTGCTCGTTGGGGATGTAAAAAAGAAAAAGAGAAAAGAAATTATCTTTATTGTTCAAGTGAGTTACATCACAAATGTGACCATACTGAAAACTTCAGGATGCTAGCAAGAGAGTCGAGCTAAGGGAGAATGAGTGCTAGCCTATATAGTCATCTCTTGAAGACTTACGTGATTTGCACCACAAATAGAGACACCTAGAGAATAGGGGATGACTTAAAGGATTCATGGGACAAGTTATAATAACAGAAAATTAATAAATAAAATTATGAAGTCAAGTCACAAAAGTAAAGGTAAAAGGAATGATAATCATTCCAAAAGTACTTTGGGGAATACGGTAGAAGTGAGGAATGAGTTCTTTTTCTTGTAAGATTTGGTTACAAGTGTATGGTGAATTGTGGAGAAAAACTGTGTTGAGGGAGGAATATAAGGAATATGATTTATATCATGCTTTTTATGAATCCTCTACAAACATAAATATATGTAGAAAAAACTCGTTAATGAGAAAAAAAAAATGGAAGAGCAATCTTTTAAGTTTTGGGGTGTAGTAACTCTCAAAAAGTAAGTTATATCAAGTCTTTTTAGAGTTAACTTTGCACTCATATCACCATTTTCTCATTAATTGCTCTACTTATTCTAATTAGTATACATGAAATAGTCAATTGTGGTTTAATATGAAAAGAATATCAATTTGCATAAATTGAGCTTAATTGTATACTTAATTGAGTTATTTGGTAAAATTCCAAAACATTTATGTTGAACCATGATGTTGTAGCAAATCTGTAAATAACACTACTCACAAATCTTGAAATAAATTGCTGACCCTGATACTGAAGCAATACGGAAAGCAAATTTTCGAGGATGACATGAAAATTTTAATCCACATTAGCAGTCCATGTGGGTCATTGACTACCAAATTAGAAACATCCTAGGTGGACGACTTTATCATTTCTCAGCCCTAAATGAGAAGAAGCAAACATTATAAGAGGAAAATGATACCTAAAAAAGAAAGAGAGCTACATTTTGGGAAGAAAATCGGACTAGACAATAGAGTATTTGTTGCTGTGAACTTCTGTGAAACTAGAGAATAAGAAAAACCCTAATTCAGGAGCTGTTGACTGCAAAAGGAAAAGAAAACCAAGAAGGATAGATTAGGGCAAAGAGGTGGACGTGAGAGCTCAAAAAAATGAAACTTCTATTGAAAAATAGCAACAAAGCTCGATAAATCTCTTATTCCTTACTCTATTTTCTTATTCTATCAATTTAATATGATTGAGATGTAGGTTCCTCTATTTAATTCAGTTTGTATGGAGAGCTAACTTTATAGGGTAGGCAAGAGAGTTTTATATAGTTTAAGTATATTGACCGTATGATTTTAGTTTATTAAAGAGTTGTTGTTAATGGCTTACATGTGTTGTTAGTGAAAGAATGAGTGATTGAATGGTTGATGGAAAGATTGTATTATGAAGAGCAAGAAGGCTCTATATATATATACAGAGAATATAAAATGATATTTAAGAAATCTACCTACAAATCTACAGAAAATATGGTAACAAACGAGTAAACAAATCAAAACTAAATCAACTCCTAACTATAAGTAGATTTAACCAGATAGTAACTGACAGCAATCTAAACAAACACGTGATCTTTAACATTTCTCCTTATTTAGATGCTGCAAACTCTAAGTTTTTTCTTGAACACCCATCTTACTCCAATTATAATTCTGTTTAGAGGTCGATCAACCAACTCCCAGATTTTGTTTTTCTCGATCATCAAAAGCTCCTCCTTTGACAGGTGCATCATCAACCAAAGCATCTTGTTGTTCATCTTTAGACTCTTCTAGTCGTTCATCTTCAAACTCTTCTAACATGCTACTGCCTTTTTGTCAACCTTATCACACTTGATCTGGAATGTAAGTGAAGCAAAGACACCCAAATTCTCTAAGGAACTTTAAAGAAGGTTAGTAACCATATCAAACTTCAAATGGTGTCAAGTCCTTCACAACTTTTGTTGAAATTCGATTTTGCA